AAAAAAGAACGAGAATGCAATATCCACCTGGATCTTAGGGTAAGGAAAGAGGGTAAAAAGAAATTCAAGCAATTTCCAAACAAATGGGTTAAACTGCACCAACTGCATCAGAACATTTATGTGGATCCTTAAAAGAATGTTGCAAAACTACATTTTTTGGATCCATGAATAAAACTAGTAGCTGGTTCTTGTAACAAGGTTTGTATACTTTGGTTTGGTGTATTTCTAAGTACTATACTAAGTACAATAATGTAGCATTTTAATGATCTATAAATAAGTGTTACAAAAAAAGCAAACGTTGCCTAGAAAATGCCTTTTGAATTCCATTAGCACCTCGTCACACTGCAGTTTACAATCTTCCATTCATTTTAGAAACTAGGGACTAGCATTTCAAACTCTGTGGACTCGAGCACCGAGGCAAATATTTCCAGTGATTATTACGTCACTGAACAGGGATCTGATATATATATATATATCCCATCCCCATTATAATGCAAACATTCGGAGAAAGAATCCTTAATGGAATGTTCTTAATTGGGTCCTGTAGCTGAGTGGTCAGAGCATTTGCCTCGCAAGTGAGAGGACCTGGGTTTATTTCCAGCGTAGGGCAAAACGTTAGGCAAGTTTCCGTACTCCACAAGCCTCTGTTTACTTAGCAGCAAGCAAGTAAGAAGCTGATTGTCAGATCCCTTTTCTGGGGAGAATAAACCCTTCAAAACCATTTTTTTAAAAAAAAACTATTTGGTCGTTCAAGGTACAACTGTTTGTGGGACACTGCAATTGGCTGCTGTGTTACGCCAACAAAATATACAGTCAATTCACTTTACAGCATATTCTCTGAAGCTCTTTGAGACGTATCAAAGACAGAAGGCGTATATCAAATGCAAGGATTATTATTAGGCAGATTAAGTTTAATAATAATCCTGGCATTTGATATAGCACCTCATCACGTCATTGAGACATCTCAAAGTGCTTCACAGAATATACGGTAAAGTGTATTTTGATGTATTCAATAATTCAGGTTAGAGGGATATAAATAAAGCAAGAACACAAGATCACATTACAGGAAAGGATGAAAAAGGCACTTCAACCAATTTTATCTCAACCTTTAGACCATCCAGTCTTGACTTGTGTCAGCTTCTCCCTGGAGCTAACAAGCTAATCTTTATTCTCCATTCTTTTGCCATCCTCTTTTGCACCACTTACTGCTTTGTAGCATGAAATACCATTATTTAATTTTCTACAATTAAAATTCCAATTAACCTGGCTTTGAGCCTGGTTTTACATCTGATTTATGGCCTTATATAACCAAATTATATGGTTATACATTTCTGCACAAGTGCAATACCAGATTTAAAAGTATACCCAGATGTTTTGACAAATATAGGAGGGAGGGCACAAAATCAACCCCATATTTCCTCAGATACTGTCTATATAAATAAGATTACTGATTTTCAATTTGCCATAGTAATCCCCGCATGGGTTTACACAGAAGCTAAATTCAGTTATTTGACAAGAGAAAATATTGAGGTGAAGACCATTCTCCTTAACCCTCAGATCCACTGAAATGTAACTGCTAGCTTTTAGCAAATCTCGAATACACGTGTAACCAACCTTACTCAGAAATCTCCATTCAGTTGTGCATTAGAAAAAGGGGGAGTGTCCAGAAAACCTTAAAGCTTACATGGAAAACGGTGACCTGTATGTGGAAACATAAATACAGTATAACTGCATAACTGATTTAGAAATGGATACGGAACACGATGTTTAAGAATATCCTCTGTCGACGTATTCCCCCTCCCATCAAAAACGATGGGTTGACCATCAGAATGGTGGGTAGTAGATAAAAATATATAATCAGCATCATCCCACCTTTTTTAAACTCTTCCAACATTGCGTCCAGCTTCGTATCGTTAAAAACAAAATGCAAAGGATGGTTGTAAAATTTGGTGATGGTTTTCAAAGGTGTACAGTCATCCGGGTCCACAAACGCCAAGTCCTTGACAAACAGCAAGTCAACAATATTTGACCGATCGCCTTCATACACAGGAATCCTTGTGTATCCGCTCTCCATTATTTCAGACATAGTGTTGAAATCCAAAATCGCATCGCAAGTGATCATGAAACAATCTCTCAGGGGTGTCATCACATCTTCCACCGTTTTAGTCCTGAGCTCAAGGGCACCCTGTATGATATTCAACTCTTCCTTCACCAGATCATTGTATGGGTCTGTGACTCGCAGCATCTCCAGTAGTTTCTCTCGGTTGTAGACAGTACCAATTTCCTGCCCCAGAATGACATCTAATAGTCTGCTGACCGGGTAAGACGCTGGGAAAGTAAGCAGCATGAAAAACTTGGTCAGCAAGATGGTATTAGCACCCACAGCAAGCCCGTGTCGAGAGCAGATGGCCTGCGGCACAATCTCCCCAAAAATCACGATGCCAATCGTTGAAACCGCGACAGCCACCAGCCCAGACCCGGCGATGTCATCTAACAGGATGGTCAGCGTGGTATTGACCAGCACGTTGCCGAGCAGGAGCGAGCACAGCAGGTAGTTCCCCTGCCTGCGGACGGGCTCGATCCGCTTGGCGTAGTTCTTCTCCTTCTCGGTGCCGCAGTTCTGTACGATGCGCAGCTCCATGGGGTCCAGCGCCATGAGCCCCAGGTTCAAGCCGCTGAACATGCCCGAGAGGCAGAGCAGGAGGGAGATGAAGATCACCTGCAGCCAGAAAGGCAGCAGGAACTTCTTCTCTTCCACCACCACCAGCATGGTGTCCTCGGTGTCGTGGTAGAGCCAGGTCCCCTGGCCGCCCGCCCTGGCCTCCGTGCACAGGTAGTAATCTTTGCTCTTCTCTGTTTTGCGCAGGGGTTTGATCTCCATCTCGATCACGGCGGTGCCGCGGCGGCTGATGGCGACGCCGGGCAGGACGACGATGTCGGAGGTGCGCACACCGCACGGGTCGAACTCGGCGTTGGCTGCCGTCTTGCGGTGCTCGGTGAAGCCGATACGCGACCAGGTGGCGTTGTTGATGTGGTGGCCGTACAGCCGCAGCCGGGCTGTGGTCCGCTCGCTGACCCTCATGACGCCGGCGTCCATCATCGACACGTCGTCCGTGTCCTCCAGCCTCAGGCCGATGATGACGAGCGGCTCGTCGCCCTCCTCGGCCGCTGTGGCGGTCGGGGTCGGGGTCGCCGCCGCCGCGGTCTCCCTCGTCGTCACGGCCGCTTCCGACTCCAAAAGGCAGCACAAGGCGACCAAAGCCAAGAAGCCGATGCGGCCGCTACTGCGAGCCGCCATGTTTGTAATGGAAATGTCTCCAGAGGGAGGGGGCGAGAGAGGGGGGGGGGGAGGAGGGGGGAGAGAGAGAGAGGGGAGGGGGAGAGAGGGGGGGGGGCAGAGAGAGAGGAGGGGGGAGAGAGGGGGGGGGGGGGGCAGAGAAAATAAAATAAATATATACTGTTTAAAAAAGGTGGGGAGGGAGAGGGGAGGGGGAGGGGAGGGGTCACATGCGATAACAGGTATTCTCCATTCTGTCCGCTTCCCTCTCTCTGTGTCGGACCGACATCCTCATCATCATCATATTATCATTGTCCCTCTCCCCCTCTCTCTCTCTCTCCTGTTTCTCTCTTTTCTGCCCTTCTCTTTCCTCTCTCCCTCACTCCCTGTTTTCCTGCCTTTCGCTCTCTCTCACTCTCCTTCAATCCTTTCTCTCCTTTCCCTCCCTGTGTGTGTGTGTGTGTGTGTGTCTCTCCGGCGCTCACTGACTGACAGACTGACTGACTGAGTGACTGACTACCGCTCCGGAGAGCCTCCCGCGGACTCTGCGTCCCCCCCCCCTCCAGCCCCCGCGCGATCCCCCATCCCCCCCGCGGCTCGCGCTCTGACTCAAACCGAGCACGGGCTGCTCCAGCCAACGGCCGCGCCGCGCGCCCGGACCCGCCCGCCCGACACCTGACGGACAGGGCCGACACCCAATGGACGAGCAGATGCGCACGTGACCGGCAGGGTCGGCAGCCAATGAGCGGCCGTCACCGGGGGTTTGGAGGTGGGGCCCGGCAGCACGTGGGGGAGGGGGCAGCCCCGCCACGCTCCGATTGGCCAACCGCCAGGACCGGCGGCGCCGAGTTTCATTGACAGGGAAGCCGACCAATAGCGCGGGGGCGCCCCGCTGTGCGGATCACTGATAGGCGGAGGGCTGTGGGCGGGACTGGCGGATCGGAGCCAATAGAAGCGGAACATCTCCCCGTCCCCAGTCACGTTTCTGTGTCAAACCCGGAGCCGAGCGTCAACGTGTGTGCTTCACATGTCAAACCTGGAGCAGAGAGCCAGTGTGACACGTGTGTGCTTCACATGTCAATCCTGGAGCAGAGAGTCAGTGTGACGTGTGTGCTTCACATGTCAATACTGGAGCAGAGAGTCAGTGTGACACGTGTGTGCTTCACATGTCAAACCTGGAGCAGAGAGTCAATGTGACACGTGTGTGCTTCACATGTCAAACCTGGAGCAGAGAGTCAGTGTGATACGTGTGTGCTTCACATGTCAAACCTGGAGCAGAGAGTCAGTGTGACACGTGTGTGCCTCACATGTCAAACCTGGAGCAGAGCGTCAGTGTGACACGTGTGTGCTTCACATGTCAAACCTGGAGCAGAGAGCCAGTGTGACACATGTGTGCTTCACATGTCAAACCTGGAGCATCGAGTCAATGTGACACCTGTGTGCTTCACATGTCAATCGTGGAGCGGAGAGGAATTGTGACACGTGTGTGCATCACATGTCAAACCTGGAGCAGAGAGTCAGTGTGACACGTGTGTGCTTCACATGTCAAACCTGGAGCAGAGAGTCAGTGTGACGTGTGTGCTTCACATGTCAAACCGGGAGCAGAGCGCCAGTGTCCTTCACCTTTACGGGGGAAGGCTGAAATGAAGAGCAGTAA